AAAAAGTAATATGAGCCAATTCAAAAGTAAAAGTTTATTGTTTTTCATTGATGGTGTTTTAATGAGTTTGCATCAGTAGAGAAGAACTTGCATTGTATTTGGGTTATAATTAAGCCTTTATGTTGGAAAAAAAGAGTTTGAAACATCCTTCTTTTTTAATTTCAAAATATTAAGGGGGTACAAATGTTTTTGTTACATGGATACCATGTAAATGCTTAAGTCAGGGCTTTTGGTTTTCCCATCACCAGAATAGTGTTCACTGTACCCAACAGGTAAATCTTTATCCCACGTCTGCCCTCCCAGCCTTCCCCCTTCTTGGTTTCCAATAACCTTTACATCTCTTTGTCTCTGTGTGTGCCCATCGTTTAGCTCCCACTTATTAGTGAGAACATATGGTGTTCAGTTTTCCATTCCTGAGATGCTTTCCTTAGGATAATGGTCTTGAGTTCCATCCAAGTTACTGCAAATGACATTATTTCATTCCTTTTTTTTCTTTTCTTATCTAGGGTTTCTGAAACGATTTCTATACCTTTTCTAGGGCTAAAATGTATTTTTTACAAATGACCAGAAGATGGCAGCATTTCAGAATCTTCCACGTCACTCCCTTCTCAGAGAGCAAACATTTCACCAATTATTCCTAAATCCAGCCCCCGCTTATAGCTTTAAATAACAACGGGTTACCCACAAATAACTAGATGGTCATGAAATTCAATGTTTATGGTGTTCAGCTTACTTGAGCAATGTATTTCCGTGGCCCTGGCTTCACTGTCCCTAGAACTTTGAAGTGAATTTGAATCAGTTGATCGTTCTTGATTACCTTGTAGGAATCTCCTAGAAGCTGAAACAAATTCACTCTTGAGGGATAAATAACTTCTATATGTGTCCACCTCCACTGTGACTCAGATCTCAAAAGAAAAAAAAAGAACCAAGAGACTTGGGTTTGAGATCTGACTGCCATTTTTTGACTACAGACAAGTTAACGAAGCATTCTGTGTCAGAACACTTATCTATATAAGAAGCCCTTCATGGCCTCCAAGATCTTTTCTAGATTTAGAAGCCATAATTTAGTCATCTTTCAAGCACTCTTGCCACCATCAATAATGCTTCGAAGACTCCCCTAACTGGTTCACTAACACTGATGCAAAAGTAATTGGAGATTTTTACTATGCAAAATACATTATTCAGTATAAAAATTAGACAATAGAATAAAAACCGAACTCTCAAAGCAAAATGATGGAAAATTTTGATTGTAAAAATATTACTCTTAGGAAAGTATTTCCATTATGACAATTCTGATAAAAATAGCAATCAGGCTGCTAGGATCTTAGCTATGTGGTTTGGAGGAGAAGGGTAAGAAATCTGGGACTTCCTAAAAACAGGGCTGGAGGAATTAACCTAGCTGTAGGGCTGTTCTCTGTGGAAGGAGGAAGAAGAGAAGGTTAAAAGGGGCCATCCGGAAAAATCAGTTTTCTTAGAAGGGCTTCCCAGAAGGCCTACACCATGCTTTCTTCTTCCCTTGCGTTGGCCATCCTATCTACAAGGGATGCTGGAAAATGTAGTCTTTTATCCAGAAACATTGCTGCCTCTAACTCTTCTTGTTAGCAAGAATAAAGGGGAGAAAGATAGTGCCATACTGATCTGGGAGGGGTTCCAAATATGTGCGCCTCCTAGAAATGGCTTGAGATGACTAGAGATGTCCAAGAAGCATTAATATCACTCAAAGTCAGATGAGCAGCAGCCCTGGGGTTCTGGATCATGGGTCTATTCAAAGCATGATGCAACATAGGCTGCAAAATAACCTGGATAGCTCATAAGAACTCAGCAGATCATCAGAGTGCCCCAAAAGTGAACTGGGCTTTGGGGTGTCAAAGATAAACAGTGGACATTTAGTTAAAGCAATGAAAATACATTTTTTTTCAGCAACTACTGACAGTAGGGGAGAGAGCTGAGCTCCAGTCTGATTTACGTAGAGGCGATTTGGGCATTTTAAAGAGAGAATGAAGGAGAGTGGAGAGCAAGAGCTCAGCAGATTCAGAGAAGCAGAAAAATTACAAAGGGTTATTCCATGTCAGTGCCATTAGGCCAGCTGTGTTTGCGAGCTGGCAATGATGGAAGTTAAGATTCTACCTCCCTACAGAGACTGGGAGACAGAGTCTGTAGCCTTCCAGATGATTGCATTTCAAAGGCATGGCTCTCAGGTCCTTGAGAGAGGGAATTCTGAGTTGTAAGAGATACATATTCACAGTTGTAAGCACCTGTTAGTAAATATTCCAATAAAGGACAGAAGCCTATCTCTGATGTTGGCTCAAGCAAACAGTAAATGATCCTGGCTTTCTCAGGCAGGTTTTTTAATGGCAGGGGTGGGGGCTTTAAGGTCATCCTGGGGATATAGCCTTGTGCTGCTGGCGGCCATGTTAGAGTTTGGTCAAGTCTCCTAGTGCAAGGATTTGGACCGAGCCGTTACGTGTGGAGAGTTCTGAAGTTCTCAGGGACTGCAAGAATGTGTTTAAATTAGGAAACCAGGGCAAAAGGACAGTCCTAGGAAGGAAGCAAGATTTAAAAGATGACTCACATCAGGAGCAATGGGGAGCAGCGCTGAGAGGGTAGACCAAGTTCAAATTTAGATTCTAACCTCTAGAGAGTACGGGATGCCTACATTTGCCTGCCTTACTCTGGATGGGCTTGTTAGCTGGGTGGAGCTGATCCTGCAGATTTTAACATCCAGGGACTGTGGCTAAGCAGAGCTAAGACTAATAAAAAATATTCCAAGCAGATTTTCTGTGATCAAACACATAACATCTGAACAGATGTGTTCAGTGTGAGGCAGTACTCAGAGTGAGGCAATACTAAGCACCAAAGTCAAACAAGACTCAACTTTTTTAAGCACAAGCCCGCACTCTGGCTCTCCCCCACTCTTCTGTCTACATCCTCACACCGCTATGTCACCTGGTCCTCCAGACTGCCTTCCAGTCTCAGGGACATACTGATCATCATCCAAGGGCCACCTAATAACTGCTGTCCTCCTGTCCCAGCCAAGTACTGCATCTAGTTGCTTTGAGAACCCAAAGACTGTGCTCTCATTCTCTTTCCTGTACGTTAGCAGTAGGACTTCTTTGCAAGCAGGTGAGTTGACATGGGAAAGCAGCCTCCACCGTGGTGAGCTCTTGCAGTGAATCAGAAAGGACTTCCTTCTCAGTTCTTTCTAATTGTTCTCAGTGCACAGTCCACGAGATGGAAGCCATGAAGACGGTTTGCCAGAGTTTCCGGGAGCATTTAGAGGAAGTTGAACAGCAGCTTATGGGACAGCAGGCACTCTTTTCCAGGGACATGTCAGAGGAGGAAAGGTAATTATCTAAGGGAGCCATAAAAGTACCAGCTCACACACCTGGAGCAAGGAAGGTAATCAGGGCAGGACAGACGAGCACCCTGGAGCAGGGCTACCGAGAAATCGGAGGCTTTTCCTTTGGTTTCATGGTCTTGTTCTTGCTTTCTCAGTGGGAGTTTGTGAGGGCCATTTGCTAGACAGGAACACTTACTCTTTAAGGCAAAGGCTATTTGAGAAGGTCAGAAGAAGGGCAGTCAGGGGTGTTGCCAGAAGGATGTTAAAGAATAAATGTGAACGGGGCTCATGCAAATGCAAATGTTGGGAGTTCTTAGAGTTTTGAAAATTTACATTATTTTCACAGGGATTACAACGTGCACCCAAAGTAAATTTGTCCATTGCCTGGGGCTAAGGGATGGGAATCAGGTTTCACTGTAAAGGGGCAGAGGGTTCTTACTGGGGAAATGGAAATGTTCTAACACTGGATGGTGGTGATTACACAACTTGGCAAATTTATTAAAATTTATTAAAATTCATTGAAATGTACTCTTAATACAGGTGAACTTTATGACCCATAAATTATACTGCAATAGAATTGTTTTAAGAAAAAGACAACCTGTCCTAGTAATGTATCTATGTCTGCGACTGACACAAATAAAGAAGGTGACATTCTCTTTTAATTTCAAAGGAAGAACCTATATTATGAGAGAGACAATGGAACATTGTACCTGGGGGTCATTATTAAATTTGATTGTTTTCTATTATTTACCTGCAGGGAAGAGGCTGAGCAACTGCAGACATTACGTGATGCCTTGAGGCAGCAGGTGGCAGAGCTGGAGTTTCACTTAGGAGACCGGGCTCGGCAAATCAGAGAAGGGATTCTGCTGGTACGGGCGCTGGGGTGTGGAGTTTGGCTGCATCCAGCCCTCCATGGGAAGGATGCATTAAATGAGGAATCTAATTGTGCAACCATTTTAGAGTCTAGAGTTATGTGCTGTCGCCTTTGTTTTAAGTTACATAGAAGTACTTTGGTTTGCTCAAGGCCACACCACTAGCTGGTGGTGATTCAGGGTTAGAATTCAGTTCACCTAATGCTATGCCAATCTTCCCTTCCCCCATAAATAAGAGAGAAGTACCATTAATTCATTTTCTGAATGAGAACAAGAATCACAGTCATGGTGAAGCTCATCTTTGGAGCCTATACCATAATCTGCTGCTGGCTTGAAGAGCCCATTCTAGATAATTCACCATCTCATAATGCCTTGTTCACAAGTCTGAGTCAGCTGGGTTTTTTGCAAATATGATATATTGTCTACTCTTTTTTGTTCTCGTTTTCCTTTTAGCAGCTGGAGCTTTTCACAGAAGAACCACCCGAACACTATACAAATCTCCATCAATAGAACTGGGCAAAAGAAAAAAACGGCCAGACTTTATGTGCTAGAATCCACCCAGCCATGGCCCAGGAGCTGTCTTTCCTCCCAACGATGGCCAGCAGGCTCTCTGCTCAGGTGGGACCCAGTTGGCTGCCTTTGCTCCACCCACCTTGGAGAGCAGCACCAGGATGTCTCCTCCATCACCATCTCAGGCAGAGTTAGGTCCAGCCCCTTCACCAAATTGTCTTGTTGGAGAAAAGGATACAAATGTCTTCCTCTAGATCCAAGCAGTTTGATAACCTACGTGCAAGCTGTAGCAAGGAAAAAATCTAATTTCCCCCAAGGAGAAGGATCTACCAACCTTTCATCAGCTTTTTTTTTTCATAGTCTAGCCTATAGTTAAACCCAGGAGGGACTTAGAATATTTTAATACTCATTCAATATAGCATAATTGAGCATCCTAGTATGTGCCAGGCACAGGGTATACAGTGGTGACCAAATGGTATACAGTCTCTTCCCTGCTGGAACTCACAGTCTAGTGGGGAGATAGAATATAAATACATATACACATTTATAATTAAAAACAGTGACAGTGCTTTGAAGGAAATAGCAAGGTTTTATGAAAAAGAGCACAGCAGGGAGTCTGATAGAGCAGATGTCAGGAGGGCATGCTTGAAGGAATGACAACAGAACAGGAAAAGAGTATCCATGCCTCACAGGTACCAGTGTCTGAAAGCCTCCAGCCAGTCTTCCAGTGGGAGTATCAGTGAAGCACCTACTGTGTGCCAGGAATTCTTACGGTGCTGGATACAGCTGGGAACAAGGCAGAATTTCTACTCATAAATAATTGGAAGAAGAGTAAGACAAGAAACCCAACAAACAAATAATTTCAATCCTGACAAGTGCCACAGAGAAGACACTGTGACGGTATTGCAGAGGGTGACTTAGCGTGGAAAGTGCGCTACACGAGTCCGGGCAGGGAAGGCCTCGCCACGGGAAGGCTATTTGGGTAAGAGCTGCAGGTGAGGGAGAGACGGCCACAGGACATGCTGGGAAAGAACATTTACAGCAGGAGGAATGGAAAGGCCACACTAGGGCCAGGAGTCTTTAAAAGTCTGGATTCTTTTTCCACGGGCAGTGGAAAGCCATCGTAGGTTTAAACTGGGCTGTTGCATGATCGGATTTACGTTTTTCATTCACTCTGGCTGCCCTGTGAAGAAAGCACCACAGGGCTACCGTGGGGCAGAGCTGCAGGCGGGAGGCTGCTGGGGTAATCCCCAGGCGTGGGAGGTTCCACCCCAGAGAAAGTGCGAGGAGCTGTACACAGAGGCCAGAGGCACTGGGCCTCTAAGGAATGAGGACAAGATGAAGAATGGAATAGTCAGGAAAAACTGCATGGAAAAGGAACGCCAGGAGGAAAGTTTATAATTTGTATGAGAATATGGGCAGGCAGAGGTCCCTTCCTAGCAAAGAGCAGAGAGTCTACTCCTTTTGAAGCCGCCCGCTACCAGAACTGTTCTCATGGTCTGTTTTCCTTCTTCCTCCATCCTTCTGGGAGCTATGCTGTGGCGTAGCACATGCCGTGGTAGTTGACTGACTCTGAGGGAGCCATCTTCCTTGCCTTTTGGAAAGCCTTTGACTCAGGGGCCCTCGCACCCTTGGGACCATCCCGCTGTTTCCTCCATCGACTACACTCCTCAGAGCATGGAAATCCCCATTCTGTCCCAAAATCTTTTCTTTTACTCTCCCCATTCTGCCTCCATCAATATACACACGTGCGCTCAAGGCATCTACACCCCAATTCCCAGCTCTCTCCAAGTCCCAGCCCAGCAGTTTCTTCTGTCCACAAGACATAGTCACCTGAAAGACTTGCCCACAAGTCCACTCAGTTTCTAAAACTGATCTGGTCATTGCCCCAAACCCGCTCGCCATCCCGATACTCTCTCTGTCAGTGGCACGGCCTTTGTCCTTGCTGGTGGGCCCAGAGAGAACCATGGTGGGCAACATCTCCCCGTCTCCACGCTGCTGCCTCAGAGTCGGTCAGCTACCACATCACTACCGAGTTTACTGCCACAAGGAAGCGCCCAGAAGTCCCCTCAGAACCAACACCCGGTGACAGCACCACGCAGGGGGCCTCCTAACTGCCTTAAGCTCTCCCTCAGGCACCACGTGAGTCATATTTCCCTGACCTAGGGTGAGTACCCTGGAAGTACTTTTAGAATTTCCCTGAGAACCAGAGAGAAATCCCAGGATCATACCTCCCAGAGCAGCCTTCCACCAAAAATAAAACTCCATGCCCTGGCGTCGCTATGCCTCTCTCCTCGCCTCCCCCTGCCACATCTGCCTTGGCCATGTCCCCATTTTGGCTCCTACATCATGGCTCAGCTGCCAGCCATATTGACTGCTGATAAATTGCATCTGTTCTCCACCCCACCCTACCCCCGAATTGCTTTCCTTTCTAAACTTTTTAATCTCTTTACTCTTCATTTGAGTCTGACTTTTAGCTTCCACTTCCCCATGTAGACTTTGACCTTGCCTGACGTTTCTACCTTGTTCCTTCCCTGTAACACCCACTGAATGAAGAAGAATGCCTGGCTCTGGGCCCTCCCTGACCTGACAGCCATCTGCCTTACAAGTCTTATATCCTACTCTGCCCTCAAGTGAATCTTAAATCCTATTCCCCTAAACCAACTGATGCATTCCTGCTCTGTTTCCTTTGCTGATAGTGCACATGAAGTATCTCTCCAGTAATCCTGGGTCAGACCCCATCGCCTGCACTGGCTTTCTCTGATGATCTCTGGCCGAAGGGACCCTATTTTTTCAGAACTCCTGTATCACTACACATCTTTATTAGGACACTTCTAACCTATGCCTTGTGTTACCATTATCTGTGTAGGTTGTATTTTCTCCACCAAACTTAAAACTCCTTGAGGGCTATCTAGCAACCCCTATGCATGGATTTAAAAGAAATCATCGGGATGAAAGCACGGACTCCCTCCTTTATCACGTGTGATCTTGGGCACTTGCTTTCTTTAACCTTATTTCTTCCTTTGTAAAATAGGGATAAGAAAAGCAAACTGACTATTTTCAAAAAAAAAAAAAATCCAGGGTTATTGGACAGAATAAATAGAGTAAATCCTGTGCACTGTTAAATTCAGTGCCCATCACATATAAGCGTTCAGTGTGTGTTGGCTATTATTACGAGTGCACATACCAAGAACTCAATTAATGCAAGCTGTAATGATCTTCCTTCTGTTGAAAAGTACTCTGTTAGCAAAGTACTTTATGCACAAAGAATATTAACAAATTCTTGATGAATGAATGAGATGGGAATAAACCAGCGGTCTCAGGAGAGAATGAAGAGAATGATCTGACTGTGGCAGAAGCACTATTTTAGGTTGTAGCAAGAGCTAAGTTTAGATTTTAAAAGGGGGTTCATTTATGGGTGGATTTGGCAATCAGGCAGATGACTTCAGATATGGTGAAGGAGGAAAAAGAGACCCATCTCTGCTGAAGGATAGTATATGGAATCCCCAAAGATCTCCAAATATTCAATGGTATTTCCTGGTTTACTCTCCTAACTCTCCAACAAAGAGCACAAAAGGGGAAAAGAAATGAAGAGAGGCTGTCCCATCCCACCCAGAAACTTTGCTGTCTTCAGTGCATGATCAACTGATTGCTGATGCTACTTCCAAATACCACCCCCATTCTCAGGCATTCAGAGTCAGACTAAATTACACCACACATTTCTCGTTTTGTACAATAAATCTCTGACATATACAGAACTAAGATAAGGAGAGAGTGACCTACAAAGGTACACGCTGAGTCTTGCAATTTATTATTAATAAGAAGCAACTGAGCTCTGGAGCTAAATCCAGGGTTGGGGGCTTAAATTCAACTCCACTACTTGTTATTTATGTTGGTTAAACTATTTAGCCGCCCTAAGCCTCAGTGTCATTATCTATAGTTTACAGAGTTAGTGCACTCCAGCCCTTTAGAGCAAGCCTGGAACACGGTTAGGGCTCAGTAAATAGTAGTGTTGATAATTAGGATGATGGTGATAATAACAAGAGTAGATGCAGTTTACGGAATGTCTACCTACAGGCAAGGTACTGGGCTAAGCACTGTATGTGCATTATCACTCATCCTCACAACAATCTGGAGAGATAGGAATTAATCTACATATACACACACACACACACACACACACACACACACACACACACTCACTCAAGAAGACTAGACCGTCTAAGTTCTGGCAACTAGTAAAGGATTGAGTTGACTTTCTGATTTCCTGATTTGTTAAACCAATGATTCATCATTATGGCTCTGCCAAGCCTTGGGGCTTATGTGGAGCCCACTGATGGCCCAAATCAACCAGAGTATCCCCGCTTACGTCTGCATTAAACATTGGGCATTAGCAGAGATTTTTCCCTTAAGAAAAAGATCTCATTGCTATAGATAGGCTTGAAAAACACTGCACTGTGCTAATCACCTCTGACTCT